GCATTATGATTATATAATTGTGGTTTATCAATGCACTAACATAGATAGATTTAAGAATTACTTATGGTAACTCAAAAAAAATTATAAATGAGGCAATTCATTGTATTGATTAAAATTAAGAACGAGTCACTCCATTTTCCCGAAAAGGCACGTGCTTATAAGATTTTTTTTAATTTACAATATTATCGTTATATGTATATACCAATTTTAGCTCGAATTTTGAAAAAAAAATATGTCATTTTCCAAAATTTACAAAAAAATTTACCTTATTAAAAAAAATGAAATAAGATACAATTAGTGATATGTAATTGCTTCATTATAAAATTAGATCAAGTATTTCTTCATTTGAAAAAATTCAACCCTACCTAACGATTGAAAAATCTTTTTTCCCAATGAACGGTAGTTTACATATCTTTATTTTAACCTATAAAACTTATCAGAAAAAAATAAAAATCAAGCGCTATAATTTTTTGAAAAATGTGGATTTTTTACCTGTAACCAATTTTTTGTTTTTTCAATTTTTTAATTTTTCGATTCTTCAATTTTTCGAATTGCAGTGTTTCAATTTTGCAATTTCTCGATATTTCAAGTTTTCATTTTGCGATTTTCGATTTTTCAGTGTCTCAGTTTTTAATTTTTCGATTTTTCAATTTCTCTTTTCAATTTTGCAAGTTCTTGATTTCCAGTTTCTAAATTTGTCAAGGTTTTTAATTTTTAGTTTTTCGTATTTTCATTTTTGATATTTCAATTTTACAGTTTTGCAATATTTCCATTTTTCATATTCATATGGTTGAAAAATGGAAAGATTAAAAATTGAGAAACTTTAAAAATCGAAAAATTACAAATCACTGAACTGAAGTTAAAATAAAAAAATGAATCGGAAATTGGAAAGAAGAAAAAACGAATCGAATAAAAAAATTAGAAACCCAAAAATCGTAAAATCGCAAAATTATAGAATCGTCAAAATTGTAAAATCGAAAAACTGTAACAGTGAAAAATCTAAATATTCTAAAATCCTAAAATTGAAAACGTGAATTTTTTAAAGTAGAAAACTAGAAAATTTGCAAATCAAAAATTGAGGAAATGATAAATTAAAAAATTTAAAATTGAAAAATCGAAAAATTAAAAATTTTAAAGTTGAAAAATTCATAAGCTGAAAATGTTCACAATGAAAAAAGAAAAATTATTAAATCAGAACACTGAAAAACTGAAAAATTGCAAAATTACAAATCGAATAATTGAAGAAACGAAAAATTGGAAAAATTGTGAAGTCGGAACATTGAAAAACTAAAAAATGGAAAAAATAAAGAAAATAAAAAACCCAAACGAAAAATTGAAACATCGAAAAATCGAGAAACTTAAAAAATTAAAAAATAATCGAAAAATTAGAAAGAAGAAAAAACGAATCGAATCAAAAAATTGAAAACTCAAAAATTGTAAAACCGCAAAATTATAGAATCGTCAAAATTGTAAAATCGAAAAACTGTAACATTGAAAAATCTAAATATGTATTCTAAAATCCTAAAATTGAAAAAGTGAATTTTTTTAAAGTAGAAAACTAGAAACTTTGCAAATCAAAAATTGAGGAAATGATAAATTAAAAAAAATTAAATTGAAAAATCGAAAAATTAAAAATTTGAAAGTTGAAAAATTCAAAAACTGAAAATTATGAAAAAAGAAAAATTATAAAATCAGAACACCGAATAACTGAAAAATTGCAAAATCTAAAAAATGAAAATTCGAAGAGCTACATATTGGAAAATTGAGGTAGCAAAAAAAATGAGAAATTGAAAAATTACAAATCGAATAATTGAAGAAACGAAAAATTGAAAAAACTGTAAAGTCGGAACTCGGAACATTGAAAAACTAAAAAATGGAAAAAATAAAGAAAATAAAAAACCCAAACGAAAAATTGAAACGTCGAAAAAGTTGGAAAATAGAAAAATTGAAACATCGAAAAATCGAGAAACTTAAAAATTAAAAAATAATCGAAAAATTAGGAAGAAGAAAAAACGAATCGAATCAAAAAATTGTAAAATCGAGAAATTAAAAAATTAAATGTCGAGAAATTAAAAATCGAACTACATACTCTGAAATCCTAAAATTGGAAAGTGAAATTTTTTTAAACTGCAATACTAGAAGAATTGCGAATCAAAAATTGAAGAAACGAAGAATTGAAAAATCTAAATTTGATAAATCGAAAAAATATAGGTAAATTATAAAATCACAACATTGAAAAACTGGAAAATTGGAATGTGAAAACTCGAAGAGCTATATATCGGAAAATTGAGGAAGCAAAAAAAAGGAAAAATTCTAAAATTACAAATCGAATAATTGAAGAAACGAAAAATTGAAAAAATTGTAGAATCGGTACATTGAAAAACTGAAAAATGGAAAAAATAAACAACCGAAACGAAAAATTGTCAGAATATTTAAAAAAAAACAAGGAAATAAAAATCAAAACGAAAAATTGAAAACCCGGGAAATTTTAAATCGAAAAATTGAGAACCTCAAAAGTCGGATAGTTGAAAAACTAAAAATCGAGGAACTTAGAAATAAAAAAAATCATCGAAAAATTGGAAAGAAGAAAAAACGAATCGAATAAAAAAATTGGAAACCCAAAAATTGTAAAATCGCACAATTATAGAACCATCAAAATTGTAAAATCGAAAAATTGTAACACTGAATAATCGAAAAATTGAAAAATTGAATATGTATCGATGAGTTGAAAAATTAAAAATGGAAATATTCTAAAATCCTAAAATTGAAAAAGTGATTTTTTTAATCAAGAAAACGAAAAATTGCAGATCAAAAATTGAAGAAACGAAAAATTAAACATTCTAAAATTGAAAAATTGAAAATTTTCACAATGAAAAAGAGAAAAATTATAAAATCAGAACATTGAAAAACTGAAAAATTGCAAAATCTATAAATTGAAACATCCGGAAGCTGGAAAATCGAAAAACTGAAAAAATTTAAAAATGAAAACTCGAACAGTCGAAAAATTGAAAAATCAAAAAAATTCAAATTATCACATGAAAAAAAGAAAAATTTAAAAATAAAATTATACACAACTGAATCGAAAAATTGCAAATGAAATCGAAAAATTGAAGAGATGAAAAATTGAAAAATTTTAAAATGAAAACTAGAATGGTTACATGTCGCAAAATTGAAGAAACAAAAGAAAATTGAAAATTTGAAAAAATGGTAAATCGAAAAATTTAAAATAGAATTGGAAGAAACCAAAAAATTATAAAATCGGAACATTGAAAAATGGAAAAATTGTAAAAATAAAAAAAATAAAAAACCGAAAATTGAAAACCCAAAAATTGTAAAATTCCAAATTTAGAATCGTCAAAATTGTAAAATCGAAAAAAATTGAAAAATTAAATATGGAGAAATTGAAAAACTTTAAATTGAAATAGGTATTCTGAAATCCTAAAATTGAAAAATATTTTTTTTTAACTAGAAAACTGGAACAATTGCAAATCACAAAATTGAAATAATCTAAAAACTGAAAAATTTAAAATATAAAGAAAATAAAAAATTGAAACGAAAAATTGAAACATTGAAAAGCTGGAAAATTAAGCAACTGGAAAGTTTAAAAATGAAAACTCGAAGAGCTATATCGTAAAATTGAGGCCACAAAAAATAAAAATCGTAAAATCGGAACATTGAAAAATTGAGGAATTGTAAAAATAAAGAAAATAAAAAATCGAAACGAAAAATTGCAATTCGAAAATTTGAAAAACTGAAAAATTCAAGTCCAAAAAAGCTGCAGCAGTATTAATTACACCACTGCTTTTAAGTTTATAGAAGTTATCAGAAAATAAAAAACGCAAAAATGTTTATAAGTTTTCAAAAAGGGAAGTTCTCTCCAATAACCTTCGCCCCGTTTTTTGACTTCCCTCTCGTTCATTGTGCTCTGGGCCGCCTCGGAACCACACCACTCCCTCCGATGTCGTTGGTCACGATCACGATCGGTAATCGAGATCATTTCCACCGATACTGCGGGAGTAGCAGACGACGGTGATAGTTTTCGACCATCAGGGTCTGGCTTTATGATTAAATTACGGCACGCGATACACCGTTTTGTTGCGCATTATATTTTACGGCAGCCATTGGTATTATGGAGGTTTTAAAGCCGGTGGCACTGGATCGACGCAAATGTTAAATTAATTTCTAATTTATATGGAAATTAAAGGGCGATGAGGCTTTATTGAAACAACAAAAAGGCATGTTGGAAATTATTGCCAGGGATTATTTTGTTATGGTCATGTTATTGGTGATGATCGAAAAAAAATAGAGCACACAAAGTGCACGTAATAAAAGTTGAAAGGGGTAAATTATTTGCTGTTTTTGAGGAATTAGCGTTAATTTGTGGCGTTTAATGTGCTATCGGCGGTGGATTATGTTTGTTGGAAGCTATAATTTGGGATTAAACCATTGATGTTGATTTTACCTTTTTAAAATATTGAATAATGTATCTACAATTTCTGCTCAACTGTATTATTATAACACGTACCTACCTATTGTCTCTAATGACAGGTAGATACATAGAACACTCATGTTTTTGGTTACTAAACTAAATTCTTGGAGTATTTATTTCCATGATTTTGTTTCCTCTTTTTTTTTGTGAATTACAACTTTTGTTTAATTTATTCGCGATCGCCGAACTTTCCTTCTCCCAGAATTCCTTTGTTCTTATCAAGTTTCTCCTCGCTGAAATTTGAATTTCTTCTTCTAATTAAGTGTTTGATAATTATAAAGTTACGAATACTTCCATTCTGATTTAAATTGCCTTTAAGGAGTTCTCTTTGTCAATATTTGTTCAACTTCTTGAAATATATTTTATCACCGAACCCTTGCACAATTTCATTAGTAGTGCTTTATAACTCCAACAAAGCCATCTTACCTCACACCCTCATAAGGCATAATTTGCAAGTTAATCTCCTTGCGATTTGTTTTACAAAACAGCTATGTAGAAAGAACATTTTCAGATGTTGCTAGTGAGCGGCCAACCCCCTTCGGTCCTTCAGCAGCTCTGCTCTCTGCCTTTCCCCTATTTCTCGGTGGAGACGCTTTCAAATGTACTTTACCCAACCTTGTTAGCTTGCTGTGTTGGAAACGAGCACACCACAGCGATACTGAAGCAGGAGCTATCTTACAACGTGAGTAAAATAATTTTTTAATTATTAGGTATACGTAGTCGAATCCAGAGGCTGTTTTATGAAAAATTTCTCCTAAACATCTCTTCCAGATTCTAGAGGATTTTCGGAAGTCGGGATCGGGTCAGCAGCACCGGTTGGTCAAACTTCTGGACAGAACCCGCCCTTAAACCTTCGTGCAATTTATTTTTAAGGCCGATTCCATTAGTCACTAGAAATAATAAACTAACTAGCCCTTCCAGGGCGCACTAATATTTTTCCATTATGTGTCTAACAGTGTACTGATTGACTTAATGCACTTTAAAACAGTTAGCTTGGCTTCATTTAGTTTCGATGTGATTGTATTTTTGAGATTATGATGTGATCGTGGTAAATATTATATTTTTAGGTAATCATGTAGCTTTTCTATAATATAATAACGATGAAAGAAGTGAATGAGTGGATTTCATTGATGCCGAATAATCAATAGCCGCTTCCCTCGAGATCCTAACGTCTTCGGACTTTCCCCTTGAGAAGTGTCGTTGTTGTGGGGAGGGCGCCCCATGCTCTTAGTGCTAAGTGCTCGTGTTAATCTAAAGCTCCCACTGTCCTACGCCGTTTTTCCGAGCCCGAACGTCGGTTATGCCTCTATGAAATATTTTGGGAGTGGACGGACGGTGTCGTGATTCTAAATTATACAACCACATTCCGGGCTCCTATCGATTTTTTTTTTAATGTGACCAAAAGTTTTGCTTGAGTTTTAGGTTCGTAATGTAACCCTGACAAGCTTGCTGTTATTACTTGAATTAATATTCAAGTTTAGCATTATTGACTGAAAAGAGATTTAGGGTCACCACTGTTTGGAATCCCTTATTTGAATGCTATAGAGAAAAGTTTCTCTGAAACATGTTACTTAATCAAGACACAATTCTAGAATTAACAGCTATTTCCTGACGTTGTATGCTTAAAAACAAACTAAATTTGAGTTAAATAATTATTAACTGGAAATTATAGAATAATAGCAAAACCTCAATAACTACCTACACTGAAGGAAATGTAAGTCTAACCTCACTTTTTACTTCTTTGCTATTACCACGGTGGAACAAATCCACTAAACATGATCAAGTTTCCAAAATTGCCAAAACATGTAGTATCGACTTAAATTTGAAAACGAATTTAACTGATCTAACCCTTCCCAATCCTGAAATAGGTGGTTTTAATTTCCTGCAAAATTGAGTAATTCAAGCTCAAGTCATGGGTTTTCCTGAAAGTCGTGTTACTATAAGGAAAAGAACGTCCCTACGGATTTGGTGGAATTGTCCAATTCGTAGGGGAGTTCATGGTTCGACCGATTAGGAAAGCTGAAACATTTTTTGCACCCTTCTTTATTATTTGGTTCCCTTTGCTGCTAATGCTGTCAAAAAGATAATTTCCCTAATCGTTTTTTTGCAATTTCTTGTACACATAATTGTTTAATTATTATCTAGATAACAACTTATTTTTTTTGTGTTTGTTTATAAATTATTTTCAGGCAAATATTTAATTCTCTAAGTGACAGTGTGGACGTATTTCAGGTAAGTAGATGTGTGTGATATTTTTCCCAACGCAGTTAATTGTCGTAAACTGAATTAATTATTTCTGTTTACCAGAATTGTCTTGAAAAATTCTCTGTTGTTGCTATTCTTGAAGCTAATTTTATGTATTAAAATTATTGTGTGAGAATGGTAGAGGAAATCAGGAAGTCGCACGTTAACAACATTAATTAATTACATCTCGTCGCTGATGACTTGTCATATTCAACTTGTTGGAAAATTGTTAAAAAAGACCTGATGTTTCCCTACAGAATGCAGGTGCTTCAAGAACTTAAACCAGCTCGGTGTATCATTTTTTACTGATGAAACTTGGTTTCATCTATCAGAGTACATAAACTCGCAAAATACGAGGATGTGGAGTATTTTGATATGACTAATAAATGCTTAAGTACCTATATATTTGAATTATCCTTTTTGAAATTGATTGACCTAGATTAATTATTGTACATTTTGACAGTCCATTGCATATTTTGTCGGTTTGAGCATATAATGCATATTTGTGTATGTTTTACGTTGTCAGTTAAAAAAAATTCAAAACTACCTCTTTTTCTAAAATATTGCTAAAATCCGAAGATAGGTCTGCTATAGTCATAGTCAGCTTCTTACAGATCGCCGCAAATGGTTTATTCGGGGAAAATAAAATGTATTTATGATTTATTACATTTATTTTTAACTGGTACATGTTGACTGAGCATACAGTATTTCAAGTACCTGATCTTGGCAAGTAAAAGTGAGGAGAATAATTTGACAAAATATTACTAATGCATTTATAACTAGACATTCAGAAAAGCCGATGGTATTAAAGTTTGTGAAAAATGTTCAAAGTCAAAACAATTTCAATAAATTCATGAATGAAAATTATCCTAAACTTATCTCAACTAACGAAAATGTTTTCTACAAAGTATGTGGGAAAATCGGTGTTGGATTGTGCCGCCGGGACACCGGGAAATTTCCCGGTGGGCCTGAAACAGTCTACTTCTTTTGTTTTATACAATTATTTACATTTTTCGCTTATCCGGGATGTTACAATTACAAATGCAATAAATATTCCTAAAAATATAAAAGACGCATAAAACAACTTTACAGTGTAAACACAGTACGAAACAGTAGGTTCCCTATTTCCGTCTGTCTGTTTGTCTGTCTGACTGCCGTCTGTCCGGATTTTTATTAGACAGCTAATCTCCGAAACTACTGAACTAGTTATATCTATCATTCCTACCAACAATTTGTTGACGTCATCTCCAAAATTTACAGTAATAAATGTTATTTAAATTTTATAAAATAAGATAAGTACTCCTGCACATGTGTTTTATGAACCCCTGTTAAGTTTTTATCCTAGACATTCAGATTTTTGAAACGTTATTTTTTAAAAAGTTGTGGATTTCATCTAAAGATTTAATCATGATTTCAGCGGATCCAAATAAAAACCGCTGACTTTGAGATTTTTACAAACAAATTTAAAAAAAAACCCTTCAACATCAAAATTGGTATGTTTTCTAAAAACAAAAGAAATCACTTTATAATAAATTTTACTTACCACTAGTTTGCTATAATATATATTTAATTTCATAGGATTGTATACTCCTGTATGCGTGATTCATGAATCCATGTCGAGTTTTCACCGTAAACATCCAGACTTGACACAAAAATCAAAATTGTATGACAACATTTACAATTTAACTTTGAAACTGTTAAACTGAATTAAATTGTGTTGAGTTTTTCCCCTAGACATCTAGATTTTTCGGAAAAAATTCAAGATTGTATTTTAGAATTTAACTTTAAAATTGCAAAAGCGAAAAATTATGACGTCATCTCAGAATTCTGCCGAACAAATGTTCTTTACATTTTATATAATAACAGCCCTGCATGTTTGATTTATTAATTCGTATTGAATTTGTTTTGCCTTTAGCATCCACATTTTTGGAAAAAAATCAACATTGTATAACAATATTTTACAATTTAACTTTGAAATTGCAAAAACCGAATGCTGTTGAATCATGAAGATATTTTAAGATTGTTTTGTGTCCTTTCCTCTGCCTTGAAGCCACAAAATCAACCAAAACCGCTGATGGTTGTAATCTGAACGTGCTAAAAATCGAGTTCGGTCGAAGTATAATATAAGTTAAGCATGTACTGAGAAATTAAGAATGTCTACATTTTTTTCCGTTAGTTATCTGCTTTGAATATATTTTATATTTAAACATGCAGGAGTTGCAAGGATGTTAATTACGTCAATTTATAGAGGTAACAGTTATCACAAAACGACAATCGCAAAATTTAATTTTATAATTTTTTAAACAAGCGAAATTTGTCAGATTATACTTCAAGGGTGAGGGAAGTTCTGTCACTGTCAAAATATTGCACAATTTTGTTCTAGCTTTGTTTTACTTGGTATCATCATCAAAATTCCAAAAACATAATTTTTTCAAAACACCAATGCTCCGGCAAAACTGAAAATAATAATAGTACTAATACCCCAACAACATCTGTATACAAATGTCCTCAAACCGACACTGAGGAAAACGGTAAGTATTTTTTTTTTTTTAATTTTACGTTGCATGTTTTTTAATACGACTTTTTTAACTTGTTTTTGCCTTGAAATAGAAAAGCGTGAGCTTATTTTTTACGTAAGTCATAAGTTCCCTTAAAAACCCTTGTTTCAAACGGCTGAACAAAAATATTATAAAAATGTTATACTAAAAAGAAGTTTTTCTTCATACAAAATGTTATCGACAGATAGAAGACAAAATTTTACAATGGAAAATTTGCATAAAACTGCACATTTCGAAGAAATTTTGTTCATATAAGTATATGCGCATGTTTTGACAAATATTTTAGCATACAAATCTGCTCTTTACTTGCAAATGAAATGCAAATTTTGAACATTGATCCGAAATACTTTTTTACTTAGAAACTAAAACTCCTAAGTTGGACCAAGCTTATCGGAATAATTAAAAAAAAAACGTCAATCGATTGATAAGTATTCCAGGGGAATTTGGAAACTGTTTAGCAACAGTATATACCGGGTGTCTGCAAAATGGTGGATTAACTCGCCGCTAAGCTGTTAACAATCAACTGGTGAGTCTGGGGAAAATAGTAAAAAAAATCCTTCTCATTTAAAATTGATTCTTTTGCTACGTTTAACAACTAAACCACACATTCATTATCACAATAACTAGTAATAAAACTTCGGTGTTCTATTTTTGGAAAATTCTGACCTGACCTGTTTTTGAGTTAATTTTGAGACTCCGTTTTTTCTTTGAAAATTTAGAACAAATTCTAGGTATTCTTGTTTAGAAAGAATTTGAAAGTGCTTTGAAGCCTCTAGTGTCTTTTGTTATAAGAATTTAATTAAATTCCGTGTAGAGGATACCTCATTTGCCAGAATCAGCCTTAACAGGTACTAGCCCCACCCACCCCCACCCCCTCTCGTTTCTTAGACAGTATCTCATTTGCCAAAATCGGTCTTGGTTTTAGCAGCTACTAGCACCGCCCACCCACCCTCTGTTTTCTTAGAGGGTATGCATTTGCCAAAATCATTTTTATTTTAACAGCTACTAACCCCGCCCATTCACCCTCTCTTTTCTTAGAGGGTATGTCATTTGCCAAAATCAGTTTTATCTTAGCAAGTAGGTACTGATGAAAAAATGATCAAAATTTGGAAACATTACGAGCTTACTTAAGGACAAGGCAGAAATTTGGAACGTCTTCTCTAGTGGTTGGTTGGTTATGTTTTAATAGATTTTTCTTTTGTTGGTTTTGTTTTTGTTTATAATTTACAAATGCCTTATTTTATTTTTTGTGGTTTATTTATTAACGAAAAATAACAGCTATTAATAATAGTACACAACAATCAATTTCAGT